TGAGCCCCTCCACCCCTGGGCCCCTCCAAGCCTCAGCCCTCCACCCCTGGCCCCTCCTCGCTTGGCCCCTCCCACCTGAGTCCCCCACGCCTGGGCGGTTCCGATGGACGAGACTTGTGTCCTCCGGGCCGGCTGTCCATTCCCTGGGCCGCCCGCCAGATCGGGCCTGGGAAGCCCTGCCTCTGGGTCAGCCGCTCGGTGATGCATGTCCGGGCTGCGCTGAGGCCGGGCTGGGGAGGGTCCGGGAGTGCGGGCGGCAAATAGGGGGTGGGGGACCCCAGCCTTGACCTCCCACTGCACCCCAGTGACGTCCCCACTGCCACCACGTGCATCCTGAAACCAGAGGATTCTGGGATAGGACCCAATACAGCCCCCCTCCTTCCCTCCCCCCAGCCAAGGAGGAACCCTCTCCGGGAGGAAATGTGCGGGCTTGGGGCAGAGGACGATGAGAGGGGAGAGGTTTCACACACAGACGCACACACACACGAAGATGTATCTTTTCTTTGGTTCGAGTGGGCACTTCCCATTCAAAGCAGACCTTGCAAACAGCCAGCCTTAGCTTGTCCCCATTCTGCAGGTAGACAAACTGGGGCTCAGGGCGGTCAGGGGAACCCCCACAGGGTCCCTGAGCAGGGGCCTGGCTTCTGACCAATGTTCATGGGTGGCTGTGCATCGACCCTGCCCCCGCCCGGACGCATGGGGCCCTCGGGGGCCGGGCACCTGTGTCGCGGGGGGAGGAGGCCACGTGCACGGCTCGCTGGGCGGAGCCCCCGCGGGGCCAGGGCCTGGGATGGGGACGGCGGCTCTGACTCGGGACCCCTGTGCTTCCAGTGCGTGGACAACATCCGGTGCAACGGCCTCATGATGAACGCCTTTGAGGAGAATTCCAAGGTCACGGTGCCCCAGATGATCAAGTGAGTGCCCCTGACCCATCGGCCCATTGGCCCAACACTGGGTCGGCCGTGCTGGCTCCGACACCCGGCTTTCGTCTTTTGGGTATTTGTCTGTTTTGAATTTATATCTATTTGGGGTTTTTTAAATTTTTATTTATTGATTTGAGAGAGAGAAGGGGGGGTGGAGAGAAACATCCGTGTGTGGTCTCACCGATTGATGGATGCGTTCATCGCTTGATTCTTGTATGTGCCCTGACCGGGGACCGAACCCGCAACCTTGGAGCTTGGGGACGACCCTCTAACCACCTGAGCCACGCGGGCAGGGCTAGTTCATGCCTGTTTGGAAGATGGCTCTGGCTCACTGGGTTTTTGCATGAGGCTGTTTAAAATATAACAGTGTAGCCCGGCCGGCGTGGCTCAGTGGTTGAGTGTCAACCTATGAACCAGGAGGTCACGGTTCAATTC